AAGCCAAAAGCTAAAATCTAAAATGTCTGGATGGACGGGGAAAAAAAGAAAATAAAATAACAGGCTCTTGAACAAGCCAGGAAGGAATTGGTCCTAACAACTGTTTGTTCTTGCAAATATTCAGCCTGCAAAAATTCAACATTCAAGCCACCAAGATTTGCCCCGACAGAGAGCTTACATGAAGCGCTCAAGAAAGAGTCTGCCACTGTAGAGCTGAGAGCTCTCCCTAACCCCTTGAGCTTTTGTCTAGAGCTCCATATCCAAGATGTCAATGACCTGAAAAGTACTTTACTGTGGCACTAGGGAAGAAACGGTAAAGAGGATGGTTTGGCAGTTAGCTTTGTTCCAAATCTCGTCACGGGCTTCCTGCAAATACCTTAGCAGCATAGTTTTGGACATATTTATGTACCCAGGTTCCCTCGCTACAGCAAGAGGTGATAATTAACCTCATTTCCAAAAGCAACATTGGCTCTTGACATGTAAGGGATGCTGGGGGAGCTGGATCCTTGGGCCTGAAAGCCTGGATTCAGAGACACATGTAAGAATACGTGTTTTACTGGTTCGCTTGTGGACCTTTGTGAAACGTTATCTGAACCACAAGCTTGATCGGTTGTCAGTATACAATGCAACATCAACACAAACTGATAAGAAAGATGAATGAATACTACAAAAATAATCTAACAACTCACTTGGATAAAGTTAAGAAATTCACATCAATTACTAGGACCCTGTTCCTTCTACTGTTTTTGCACACAGCTGTATACACGGCAGCACATTCCCAAGAAAGCCTGCAGAAAGGGAAAACGGTGAATACTCATGGAAGTCGGTATTCTCATGAACATTTGCATCCAAATAGCATGTCCTGCCACCTCTGTGTAGGCCTGGGAGTAGAACTGCTCTCAATGGGATTTAAGGGACCCAATGCACATCACAAAGTTTCTCTTTGCAGAGCATCTACGTTACCGTTTCCTGGCATGATTCTTTTGTGGTAGAGTACCTGGTCAGGCAATTCTTGACAGGTACTTCTAGCTTTGTAGTACTTAATTAGGATTTTAAGCTCCTTGGAATAGTACTGCCTGGCTTCGTCTGTCCCTGAAGCACTATAAACAGTTCCAGTATTAAAAAAATAACAACTTGATAGATATATATGCAACCTGTACTATGTGCCCTATCACTTCTTTTGATTTGTGGATGCACCAATCAAGACTGGTTCAGACTTCGTATCCTGCTGCCACAGCATAATCTCAAAAGGACTCAGAAAACTTACAGGATGAGTCAATACAAAGTTTTGCACTCAAAGACAGGGTGTCCAAATTGTTACATTCAAAGATGAAGAAAACATTTGGGTGCAAACAATTAAGGGAAATACCTCAACCATTTCACTGGGAAGCATGATTCATTCTTATTAAAATGAATTTGCTACTGGTAAATATATTGCTAAATCTTAACTGAAAATTGCTTTCTAGTGCAACTTTTAGAAACAGATATTGCATCTCATTTCTCTGGGTGAAGCTGGGACTAGGAATATACCTGGGAAAACACCTGGGTTTATTGCCAGATCCTGAAATGACATGCTGAGACACAGGTTAATTCACACTTTATTTCCGTGGCCCATCTTCTTACCTGTGCAATGGAGTTACCTGTACTCTTTTTCTCTTATGAACTATCACCACAAAACCTGTTTTCAGGTGAAATCTGTGCTCTTTCCATATTGATACATACATGGTAATAATCTTTTATTCACAAATCCCCCTTATTATAGAGTTTCCCTGTGTCACCAGTTAAAGAACAAGAAGTTTTCTGATTTTTACACAAGAGATGTAGTTACAGTGCGCAGTATTACAAATGCATCTTACCCTGTTTTTTTGAAGATGAGAAATGAGCAACTTTGAGCTATAAAAGCAGGCTCTTTTCATATTTTTGGTGAATTTAGCAGCTATTTTGAATATTTTACATTTACCAAAATGTTTTCCATTTCCAGCACCAGCTTTGAGGAAGACAGCCTTCTCTGTGTTTTAAAGCGAGTCTACATTAAGCTCAAGGTAGCTGCTTTTGCTGTTAAATATTCTTAAACAGAGCAGACTTCAAAAACAGTTGTTTGCTCGATGCAGTTAGACAAAGTGATAAGAATTTCTTTAAATACTTCCTCTTTTCCCCATGAACATGAGAAATATAATTCCACAAGGCACACTTTCATCTCAGTAGTCTTTCATGGCAAAGAATCACTGTTGAAGGCACTGTTGAAAGATACCAAAAGGAAAAAGGATACACGCCCGCCCCTTCCTATATAGAATCACAGAATGGTTAGGGTTGGAAGGGACCTCAAAGATCATCTAGTTCCAACACCCCTGCCATGGGCAGGCACACCCTCCACTACACCAGGTTGCCCAAAGCCTCATCCAACCTGGCCTTGAACACTTCCAGGGATGGGGCATCTACAACTTCTCCGGGCAACCTGTTCCAATACCTCACCACCATTATATATATATGTGTGTACATATATATAATCATCTCAAGTTTGAAGAGCTGACAAACGTGATTACAGAAACATTATGCTATGTGTCAACTAGTATAGCAACATCACCTCAAGGAAAAACCACAGAATGGTTGAGGTTAGAAGAGACTTCTGAAGGGACCTCAGAAGTTGGACCAGGTCCAACCACACTGCTCAAGCAGGGCCACTTAGGTCCAGTTGCCCAGGACCATGTCCAGTCAGCTTTTGAGTATCTTCAGGGATGGAGACTCCACAACTTCTCTGGGCAACCTGTGTCCGTGCTCAGTCAACCCCAGAGTGGAAAACTGTTTCCTGATGTTCAGAGGGAACCTCCTGTGTGTATCAGTTTGTGTCGCCTCTGGTCCTGATGCTGGGCACCACTGAAAAGAGCCTGGCTCCATATTCTTTTCACTCTCCCTTCAAGTATCTATATACATTAATCTGATCCCCCAGCAGCACAGCTTCTCCAGGACAGCACAGCTCCTGAAGGACAGAGGGCCATCACTCCTGGCCTCAGAGAGAGGTCCCAGGCACTCCCTGCAACCTGGGACTTGGAGGGCTGCATCGGTCTTCTGAAGCTCAGTCTATGCGGTAGCTGCATTGGGTTTGCATGGCAAGGTTTTGGTAGCGGGGGGGCTACAGGGTTGGCTTCTGCGAGACACTGCTAAAAGCTTCCCCTATGTCCAACAGAGCACCATCGCCAACCTGCTCCAAGACAGACCCACAAATGGCCAAAGCTGAGCCAATCAGCAACAGTGGCAGCACTTCTGTGATAACATGTTTAAGAAGGGTTAAAAACTGCGTGGAACAATAGCCTGAAGAGGGGAGTGAGAATATGTGAAAGAAACAACTCTGCAGAGATCAAGGTCTGTAAAGGAGAGGAGGAGGTGCTGCAGGCACCAGAGCAGACTTGCAGCCCGTGGTGAAGACCATGGCGAGGCAGGCTGTCCCACTGCAGCCCATGGAGGTTAATGGCGGAGCAGAGATCCACCTGCAGCCCATGGAGGACCCCACATCAGAGCAGGTGGATGCCCGAAGGAGGCCATAGCCTCATGGGAAGCCTGCACTGGAGCAGAGTCCTGGGAGGACCTGTGGAGAGAGAAGCCCACACTGGAGCAGGTCTGCTGGCAGGACTTGTGACCCTATGGGGGACCAGTGCTGGAGCAGTCTGTTCCTGAAGGACTGCACCCCGTGGAAGGACTCACATTGGAGCAGTTTGTGAAGAACCGTAGCCCACTGGAAGGACTCACATTGGAGAAGCTTGTGGAAGAGTGTCTCCTGTGGGAGGGACCCCATGCTGGAGCAAGGGAAGAGTGTGAAGAGTCCTCTCACTGATGAAGAAGGAGCAGCAGAGACAAGGTGTGATGAACTGACCTGCAACCCCCATTCCCTGTCCCCTTGCACTGCTTGTGGGGAGGAGGTAGACCTGGGAAGAAATGAGGGGTGGGGGAAGGTGTTTTGAGATTTGGCCTTATTTCTCATTATCCTGCTCTGATTTGACTGGTAATAAATTAAACTAATTTCCCCAAGTTGAGTCTGTTTTGCCTGTGACGGTAACTGCTGAGTGATCTCTCCTTATCTTGACCCACGAGCCTTTCATTATGTTTTCTCTCTCCTGCCCAGCTTAGCAGGGGGAGTGATAGAGCGGCTTTGGTGGGCACCTGGTGTCCAGCCAGGGTCAACCCACCACAGAACCCTCTGACCTAGCAGGGACAGCTGCTCCCACGTCTACTGGGGAAACTGAAACGAAATATATGAATGTTTCGTATAACTCAGATTACATATCTGAGCACAGCAAAGAAGAGATTTCAAGGAGACACGATAGAACTGCACTCTAATCTCCTGAGCTTTATACCATAATGCTGACAAGGGCATCATTCTTTTCAGATCAAAAAGTTCTACCCAACATTGTCATGTGATAACAAGGCTAAAAGGAAGGAAAATACAGGATACTCAGAATGAAAAGACAGATGCAGAAAATCATAAGGTGAAAGGCTTTGAGAAAGCTGTTTGTATTTGAAAATTTCAGAATCAGATAATTTCTAAAAATATTTAAATAAAATCATTCATTTATGCAAATGCATGAACCCAGGAAGAGCCAAAACAAAAACCACAAACATCCAGTATGAAGATTCCCTTTACAATAAAAATTCTTCTAGGAAGTATATTAAACATGTGACAAGAGGGGAAAAAAAGCATCTCAATTTATATTCAAGGGCATCACATTTTAGAACAATGTCTTAGCCATTAATAATTTATAAATGATTCACAAAGAAATTAAATACGATATTCCATAAAAGAATAATCTAATTTACAGTTTAGAAGTAAGGCTTCACCATAACATCTCACACCCTTCCCCTGCTCTTTGCATACCCAAGTTGAGTGATCTGTACTTACTCTCCTCACAGAGTAACACAGCATGGTGGTCCTCAAAAACACAGGTAGTGTTCAGGTTTACTTTTCAAGGTTCAACAAAAAAGCATTACTAGAAAGCGTCCTATTATTTGTCCCAATAAAATCAAGTGAAAAGCTAGAGGAAATGGATAAGTTATATTCACCAGTCTAAGACTGAGGGAATGGATTAAATTACACCTTGAAAAAAAAAAAACAAAGTAGCTATCTACTAGTTATGCCGTCGTGTTATTAGTCACTGTGCACAAACAGGACACCGCAATTCCAAATCACAGACTAGAAACACAGTGCTTCCTTCACACAAAGCACATAACTTCTGTGCGAAAAAAGCTGGGAAAAAAAATTGTGAGAATTATCCATCTCCGTAGCTGTCATATGTATAAGAACCATTGGCTTCACAGAGCTCCAGTTTATTCAAAATACTGAATGTAATACTGATGTCAATAATATCCCTTTGTCTCCTTATGCATCAAGTACAAATCAGAGAAAAACCCTGCCCAAAACCACTCATTTGCAACCACAAAACATTGTCAGAAATCTTGTATTTGCAGCACAGTTATCTGGTGTTGCAGTTAACACGTTAATTCTGCAGACAACAGTCACAAATACTTACTAAAAATACAGATATGTTTCCTAAAAGTAAAGTGAAGCTTTATTTAAGACGACAAAGCTTTTGCAACAGTGCAGGGTGCAAATTTGCGGTACGAAGACATTCAGAAGATTTGCTGCTCAAAGAGGATCTTTTCAAACCCTGGTGGAGGTGTATGATAAAATTCACTGAACTGACAATCCAGGATGGCACTGTCATCAACTGCAGAAGAGAATCAAACAGAAGGAATGAGAGAAGGAACACTTACAGTTTCATCCTCTATTACACCATCTTATTAGATTACATACTGTGCTCAAACCATGAAGAATATTCTCCAATACATCCATTACCTATGTACAACATAATTAAAAGAAATCTCTTCAACAAGCTTGCTAAAGCCCTACACACATACCCAAGGAGACCAAAATGTCTCTTTTCTGCTGTTTACTTTAGTCAGTAATGGTCCTTGGTTAAGTCAATGAGGATGCTGCCTATGATCATAGAATCATAGAATGGTTAGGGCTGGAAGGGACCTTCAAAGGTCATCTAGTCCAACCCCCCTGCAAGGAACAGGGATATCTCCAACTAGATCAGGTTGCTCAGGGCCTCGTCCAACTGGGCCTTGAACGTCTCCAGGGATGGAGCATCCACCACCTCTCTGGGCAACCTGTTCCAGTGTTCTACAACTCTCATGGTAAAAAATTTTTTCCTAATATCCAATCTGAATCTACCTCCCTCTATTTTAAAACCATTACCCCTTGTCCTATCACAACTGGCCCTCCTGAACAGCCTCTCCCCATCTTTCTTGTAGGCCCCCTTGAGGTACTGGAAGACCGCTATAAGGTCACCCCGGAGCCTCCTCTTCTCCAGGCTGAACAGCCCCAACTCTCTCAGCCTGTCCTCATAGGAAAGGTGCTCCAGCCCTCTTATCATCTTTGTGGCCCTCCTCTGGACCCTCTCCAACTGGTCCATGTCCTTCTTATGTTGGGGGCTCCAGAACTGGACGCAGTACTCCAGGTGAGGTCTCACGAGGGCAGAGTAGATTAAGGACACTACCAGATACATACTGCAGGGCTGTCACCTTCTCAGCTGCCTATTTTTCTGTCCTCTTCCTAATTCTGCTGGAGCGTCAGCTGTCTGCAACAATTTTTCTGGAGGTTTACAAGTTTCAGATGTCTGTAGTGGTTGATGTTAAACCATCTGTTTTAGCATGTGATTCAAAGAAAGCTTCTTTGACTGCTTCTTCATGTTGGAAGTTACTGGTTTTTTTACAATACCTCTCCTAGTCTTGGATCCCCTGCGTAACCTGAGACACAGGTGTTACCACCTTCAATGCAGAATATAAAAAAGAAGCTGCTGAGGATTTTCAGGGCAAAGCTTTCATGTACTGCATTAGCAAATTGAAATACTCAAGCAGACAGAAAAGCAAGATCCCTTTCAAAGACAACTTCTTCCAGGACAAACCTGGTACACTAGCAACACCAGATCAAACCAGAAAAGCTTCATCTCCATGTTTTGGTATCTCAGAGCCAAGGCAGCAATTTTTCATTCCTAGTTAACTCCTCAGTTAAAACTCCTATTAGTGTTTTAGTACAGTTCTGTAGTACTTACACAGTGTTCACATCTCAATTCCTCAAAAGTGCCTGAGGTACAACTGTTGTGGGGAACAACCTCTAAGTCCATTTTTCTATTTTACATTTTCAAGCTTGACACCGTGTTTGCCTGCTCTATCATGTTTCTTTTAAGATACGTATCTATATATATGTCTGAATTATGGATTGGGTCAATGCTTAAGAAACTTGGATTTGACAGATGGACCACTCGATGGATAAAGAACTGGCTGGATGATCACAGTCAAAGAGTTGTGGTGAATGGTGCAATGTCTACATGGAGACCAGTGTCAAGCGGTGTCCCTCAGGGGTCTGTTCTGGGTCCAGTGCTGTTCAACATCTTTGTCAGCAACATGGATGATGGCATTGAGTGCACCCTCAGTAAGTTTGCCAATGACACCAAGTTGTGTGGTGCCATGGACTCACTTGAGGGAAGAGATGCCATACAGAGGGACCTTGATAGGCTTGAGAAATGGGCCAGTGCTAACTGCATGAGCTTCAACAAGTCAAAATGCAAGGTCCTTCACCTGGGCCGGGCCAACCCTAGGCACAAATGCAAACTGGGCACAAAGTGGGTTGAGAGTAGCCCTGAAGAGAAGGATTTGGGGGTGTTTATAAATGAGAAGTTCAATATGAGCCAGCAGTGTGCTCATGCAGCCCAGAAGGCCAACTGCATCCTGGGATGTATCAAGAGAAGCGTGGTCAGTAGGTCAAGAGAGGTGATTCTCCCCCTTTACTCTGCTCTTGTGAGATCCCACCTCGAATAATGCGTCCAATTCTGGTGTCCCCACCATAAAAGAGACATAGATCTGTTGGAGCGTGTTCAGAGGAGGGCCACAAAGATGATCCAGGGGCTGGAGCACCTCTGCTACGAGGACAGGTTGCGGGAGCTGGGATTGTTCAGCCTTGAAAAGAGAAGACTTCGGGGGGACCTAATAGCTGCCTTCCAATACCTGAAGGGAACCTACAGGAAGGCTGGGGAGGGACTTTTTACAAGAGTGTCCACTGATAGGACAAGGGGAAATGGGTTTAAGTTGAAGGAGAACAGATTTAGATTAGATCTTAGGAAGAAATTCTTTAGTATGAGGGTGGTAAGACTTTGGAATAAATTGCCCAGAGAAGTTGTGGATGCCCCCTCCCTGGAGGTGTTCAAGGCCAAGTTGGACAGAGTCTTGAGTAGCCTGATCTAGTTGAGAGGCGTCCCTGCCTATGACAGGGAGGGTGGATTAGATGATCTCTAAGGTCCCTTCCAGCCTGTGCCATTCTATGAATCTCTACGGTCTAATCCTTTCACGTAACTAGAAGTAGTTCACATTAAAGGACATTTATAGTTAAAGCCTACACCAGGTAAGTCGCATGCAGAAGCACTTTGCAGGATTCAATTGTTATAACTATATGTAGGAGACATGACAGTTATGATGAAATTATGCCCACTTGTGGAAGACGATAATAAGAGCCTGGCAATAAAAGGTCACTGCATTCCCCAGGCACAGAACTTCCTTAGTCAGAGAGAAAGACGATTTACAGCAGGCTAACATGCCACCAAATGTTTTCTGAAAGCAACCTGTGTTCTTCATGCTATGTAGCACCGCTTCCAAAATGTAGGGAAGATGTAACAATCAGTTATTACACAGCAACTCTTTTCCTGCTGCTAGTGAGGCTTTTTGCAGAAGGAGATCCGGCAGTGCCGCAGGGCAGCTGCTGCCGGCCACAGCATATTCCCAGCGCCATCACGTGGCTCAAGGACGCATCACAGAATGACCATATAAAAAATTCCCACTCCAATAGTTTGGAAAGATATCATTTGTCAACTACGTTTATAGACTTCAAAGGCTCCACAACACATCTAGAATATTTTCTTCCTCTTCATAAAATTCAGTATTACAAATGTATCAAGACATAAATGGGAATGTGCCAACGATTCACCAAGGACCAACCATGAAATGAAAAAGTTATCCTCATCAGATAGCTAATGGTATCTCAAGAGCAAAACGATTTTAGAAGAGGCTACTACTTAGATGAAGCTCCTATAGGAATAAAGACAAACTGGAGTAGGTGTAACACAGGGAATCCGATGAGCAGTTACCATTTTCTGCAAGTGACAAGCCAACTCGGAGCGTCACGTTGATGACGCACTGAGCTAGGGGGGGAAGCGCTGCCTTTCGGATGAGATGTTAAACAGAATTCTGACTACTTGGGAACAAAAAAAACACCACCAAGTTCCAGAAGAGTAAATTATTAACACAGGTCTTGGCCAAATTCCAGCTCCCATAATTCATAAATTCTTTCTCAAACTGCCTATGCAAGGATTAATTGGATAGGGTATTTGTTTCTTGTACAGAACTGCTGTGTTGTATCAATGGTTGCTGGTAAAACAGCTACCACAATTTGCTCACCAATTGCTAGATTTCAAAACTGGGCATCGATTTGGTAGAGCAGCAAAGAGCTGTACCACTATACAGCAAGCAGCTGTACGAGTACTACATTTAAGTTATTACTTCCGTAACGAAATACAAACAGCAATTCAGTATCTATTCATATTCGACACTGAATGCAGTTATGAAGTATGTGAAATCATTAGAATCATAGAATGGTTTGGGTTGGAAGGGACCTTAAACATCATCTAGTTCCAACCTCCCTGCCATGGGCAGGGAAACCCTCCACTACACCAGGTTGCCCAAAGCCTCATCCAACCTGGCCTTGAACACTTCCAGGGATGGGGCATCTACAATTTCTCTGGGCAATCTGTTCCAGTGCCTCACCACCCTCTGAGTGAAAAATCTCTTCCTTACATCTAATCTAAATCTTCCCTCTTTCAGTTTAAAGCCATTGCCCCTTGCCCTGTCACTACACGCCCATGTAAAAAGTCCCTCTCCAGCTTTCCTGTAGGCCCCCTTTAAGTACTGGAAGGCTGCAATAAGATCTTCCTGGAGCCTTTTGTTCTCCAGGCTGAACAGCCCCAACTCTCTCAGCCTGTCTCTGTAGGAGAGGTGTTCCAGCCCTTGGATCATCTTCGTGGCCCTGCTCTGGACTCGCTCCAGCAGCTCCATGTCCTTCTTGAGTTGGGGACTCCAGAGCTGAATGCAGTATTCCAGGCATACATACCAAGCTTCAGAGATTGATCAGATTAGCCCACAAGTCTACATTACTTTAAATTTATTGGTTTTATTTTTTTCATCTGTTTCACAGGTTTTTTACATGGCAATTTTTAGACTGAGTGCAGTAACTCCCCAGCTTGCTGGATGTGGACACTGTAAGTAGTCAGTAAGCAGTGGTTTTTTTTCTAGCTATTAAGCAGCATTAAGAATTAGGTGAAAATATACTTTTGTGTTTTCCTAGTTTTGTATTTTCATGCAATTTACTGTTGTAGTTGCCGAAAATAAATGACTGATGTGTGTTCCATTTAAGAAGAATACATAGCTTGCAAGAGAGACTTGGTACAGAAATATTGTCCATACCGTGAAACAGTTTGACAACCCCTGACTTACCATAGACCACTGGATAGACAGTCCCTCGGATTCCTGAAGCTGGACAATGCATGTTCTTCCCATTTAAATATACATTTAATTCTACATGGTCGTATGTAATGCCCTAAACAGCAGAGAAAATTAACAAAAAAAGCATCAAGTTTATACACATAAGACTGCTACTTAATTTAGCTTTCTTAGCCACAGGCAGATTCTAACACCATTATGCAAACCACAGTATCCTACAAAATCTCACTTGAAATATTCCTGCAAAGGACTAGAAGTTAATAAATGACCAGTAACATTTGTATTTTCAAATACTCAGGATTCCTTAACGCGCATTCAATTCGGATGCGGCACAGTTCCACACGCCGCATCTTACTAAGTTTACAAAACAAACTTCCAAACTATTACTCACCGAGTTAAAGAAACACAAAATTTTCACTTATTCTGAGTATTAAGCAGTTTGCCAACTTCTTGTTTATATCCTCTCACGGAAATAACTTTAATAAAGAGTGATGCCATGAATTAAGTCTAACTATCCATACTGCCATACAGAAATCCCTCTCAGCTCATTCACTCTGCCAGCAGCAGCAGACCGCGGCTTCATACACAACGCTACAAATATGCTGACTACAGAGCAGAAAGCAAACACTAAGGTAATAAATTGCTTATTTGTTGGCTAAATGATTTTTCTCAGTTTTGGTATGGCTGAGTGTGACAATTTGTGTTGTCATTCAGTACTTCAGAAATCCATTTTCATGACAGAACAAAATAAATTGAAATTTATTAAAACTGAGGATTTGGCAGTAACACATCAGCTACTTTTTTGTGATTAGTTGAAGCTGTTCGGACTACGTACGTTGGCCAAACCCTGGAACAGCCTGCAACCCTCCAAAAAAAACATTTCAGAAGGGGATTAAAAGAATAATACAGTACCTGAGAGTAAAGAATGGAGGAGTCAACCATAACTTTTTAGGGCTTCTAAAGATAAAATTTCTAGCCATTGCTATATAGAGGCAAGGTTACCCAGCAAGAAAAAGTAGTGGCAATAAAAGATCTAAATTTCATTGCATTGCTCCCACATATTTTTGAAAATAAATCTCTAACGGGACATTGAGAAAACAACAGCAATAAAAGACAACTCTCTGAACAAAGTCACTTAAAGATGTTTTGAGAAACCTGGAATAACAAGATTCAAAAAGTCTTAAGATTCTCCATTTCCTCTCATTCTTAATTGTCTCAGTAAGCATTACCCTCTCCCCACTTAGTATCTCTCCTTCCCTACAAAAATTTGGCTAAAAATACAATTCATTTATCACCCAGGACCTATCTCTGCTCAGCTCTGTCCTTCTAATCATTAACCAGTTAGCAACGGGATCCTGAGTTCAGATGGGCATGGCGCATAGCTAAGTAATGCATTCCAGCACATAATTTGCTCAGGAAGGTCTCATCTCAAACAACATAGGATCCTTGCGATGGGACTTATCCATAAGGTAGATACTGCAACTGAGCATCAGAGGCTACTTTTCAAACACTGGTAAAGCCTGTCCCTCCTTAGAAACATATCAGTGCTGAGACTGATGTCCGCTGATATCCAGGCCGCTAATCTGTTCAAACACAACGGGAGTTTGTATCAGCGCTTTCCAAACAGCAAGATGAAAGATAAACAATTTGACTGGAATGGTCATTCTGACCACAGAGCTGTAAATAAGAGGATTCTGGGAACAGTTGGGGAAATAAAGAAGCCTTAAGAAACTCACCACCACATCGCCCTCCTGAGGAAGGTTGTTTGCTGGTAGTCTACTTTTCTCCTCATTGTTATAGTAGAGAGCTCCATCATTTCGCATTACCAGGCTATGGCCATCTCGACCAAGTGGAATTTGATTCAAGTTTGCTTTCTGGGTTGCAACTCCAATACCCCAAATCCCTAAAATGTGACATTAATATGGTAAGAAAAAACACACGCATTATTTTGAAGACTATCTAACTGAAGCAGGACAGCAGAAAGAATGTATTTTTTAACTAGTGCCATGGTGGTACTACCAGTAAGTATCTCTTGGAAAGACCAGGACTAGTGTGGGTTAGCCCTAGTAGGCAGCTAAGTACCACCAAGCCACTCACTTCCTCCCAAAGGCCCAAGTGGGATGGAGGAAGAGGAAAGGAAGAGTAAAACCAAGAAAACTTGTGGGTAAAGACAAAAATTGTTTAATAGGCAAAGGAGAGGTAGAAGAAAGAAAGAAAGCAAAGCAAAACAAAGCGATGCAATGGCAATCACTCACGACCTCCCATGGGGTAGACCAATGCCCAGCCAATTCCCAAGCAAAAGCTGGCTAACCTCCCTAAATTCTCTCCTCTCCCTTTTATTGCTGAGCGTGACATTATGTGGCATGGAACAACTCTTTGGTTAGTTTGGGTTATCCACCAAGTTGTGTCCCCTCCCAATCTCTTGTGCACCCTCAATCGTGTTCACTCAGGGGGCAGAGTGAGAAACAGAGAAGGCCTTGATGCTGTGCAAACACTGCTCAGCAATAGCTAAAATACTAGCATGTTATCAGTACGGTTTTGGTCACAAATCTATAACACAGCACCACAGGTGCTGCTATGAAGAAAATTAACTGCATCCTGGCCAGGCCCAGTACAAGCAGTCACAAGAGACTGAAGATAAACAGCATCTATCCTGAAAAAGAAGGATTCAGAAAATTGTAACCACATAGTTTAACCTTTATTCCCAGAAAAATATTGAAAACAAACTCTGAGACTATAGTAGGATGTAAAACATAAATCCAACTAGCATGGATTTGTGAACAACACTATTTCCTTTTTCAGCTGGTTAGACTAGTCTTAGGGAAAAAGAAGAAATTGTAAATATGATAATCATGATTTGGTAACATTTTTGAAACTCATACAACATTGAAAACATGATCTAGACAGTTACAGCAATATGAATGCACAACTGGTTAGAAAACTGTATTCCAGGACTGCTCACCAGCAGCACTCTGTCAAATCAAAAAAGATGACTCAAGTGGGGCTTGAGGTTTTGCACTGAATGCACAAGGTCACACACTGTTCCGTATTCACATCCATGACTTGGATATCATGACGATGTGCTTATTAAACATGCTGCCAATACCAACCTGACAGGACTGCAAGCTTTTCAGAGGCCCCTTGAGTTTTAAATAATCCTGACAAATCGGTTAATAGGTCTGAAATAAGGAAAATGCATTTGCTTTGTCTGAATTACAAAGAACAGCAGGTAAGTAGGAATAGCGAGTGGCACAAACACAATAGTGACTTGGCAACCAGTTCACAGAATATAATTTGGGGGCTATCACAGACCACATGCTGAGGGTGAGTCTGTGCCCTACTGTTGTCAAAAACTTCTGTATGTATGGCATGCATAAAGCAGACATACTGTATGCACAGCAGATGAAGGATGTGTACTGCTGCTGCAGCTGGAGCAAAGCACTCATTTTAAGCATCATACCTCAAGACAAATCAGGTCAATTAGAGATATTCTAGAAGAAACAACAAAACCAATCGAAACTAAAAACATCATCTATTAAGGAGATGATGAAAACAAAAAACAGCCCCTGGGACTCTAATCTACAGAAGACTAAAACGAGGCAAAAAATATAAGAAAATTAGTTTCAAAAGACAAAACTGCAGAACAGTTTATTCTAATACTTACATGCCCAGTATGACAAGGAAAACAGTGTGAACAAGATTCAGATTAGACTTCAGAAAACTTTCCAATAGTCAGGGTGACCCCAGAGACAACCCCTAATAGATGGCACAGGAACACTTCTGGGAATTAAAGTTTTAAGTTAAGCAATCTACAATTCTCCTGCCTTGGGGCACATGAATAGACGAGACATGGCTCATAAGGACCAGGCGACTTTATTGAATGTGTTTCTCAAGTATAAGAACATGGACACTGTATCTGCATGAATAATGACCATATATGAACAACAGCTGCAGTAGATTCCTCCCCCAGCAGAAAGGATACTAAAATTGTCAAGTTAAGACTGATCCGGGGTTTATATGTAGTTTAAAACTAAACAACTGGTTTGACCGCAAGGTGTTTTCAACAAATTTGTGTTGGCGCTGCCTGCACTCCAATCCAACTGAATGCAAACAGCCCTTAACCAAAAAGCGCCAGGTTCAAGCTCCAGCTGGTGTCGTAAGGCCTGTCTCTCGACTAACACTTCCTTTCTTCTTCCCGCCCCCTACACACTTAGGAAAAGAACAGCTTCATTTTCACAGCATCTGTTGTCTTTAAAAATACAGGCTGATTTTTAATGTTAGAACACCGACAAGCCTGGAGTGCACTCTGTACTAGTGAAGCTGACTGTATTTAGTAAAGGTGTAATGTTTCCAAATCTCGTTCACTTTCAGCTGCCTTGCATTAGATCTGTGCAAAACAAATGACGAAAGAGAGTGCTGAAAGGCTCCTCTTGATAAGGCGGTGTCGGAATAAGCACTGCACATTTGATTTGAAGAGCAAAGTGTAGCACAAGGAGCATTACCCTTGCTTGGGCAAACACAGTGCATGTTAAAAGCGAATGAAGGTCGACAAATAGCTACAAATACTGCTGCATAAACTGCACTATTTAAAAAAAACCCCAACTTCATAGCTACAGTGGTTTACATGGTCATAAACATTCATTTAGCAAAAACCATTTCTAAAATATGCTAACTGAAAAACATGCATGTAACTCTATACAAAACAATACAGTGTTTTAGTATTGGCACTCCTTTAGTAAAATACTTACAATTCTTTTTAGTATTTCAGAGCCACAAATTAAAAAAAGAAAAGAAAAGAAATTTACTTGTACACAATGACAACTTGTAAAACTCTCCAAAGTTCACAAGTTCAAGGATGCAATTAGAAAGATGCATGTGCTCCGTATTGGAGGTTTGACCACCAGCAGGCAATCTGACATACCTTCCAAGTTTAAAGTTGTACATTTTTGCTGACTAACCTGTGGACTGGATTTTAAACTCAAAATAGCTCTTGTTCTGATGCAAAGGTGCATTGGCTAAGCAGCCTCCTGTGCCACATATTCTTCTGCCATTTTTAACGACGACAACATCTGTTCCTGCAAGAAGAAAAAAACCCACAAAACTTCAAAACATTTTTTAAAGTCTGGAACCAGTCCTTCAGAGCCCTAAACATAGAGAACAGTTCTTGTTCTTTCTGCCCCAAGTAAAAGCTTCATTAGTCTGTGAGAATTATGATGATGGGCCATGCTTTGATGTAAGAAAAAGAAGGCTGTTTACAGGTTAGTTCATCCTTCCACTAGGGTTTATTTATTTAAAATCCATATGCTGCTTTAATTTTGCCTCTTGGGTTTTACAGCACCATGCTGATTATAACGTTGCTCAGCCACATCAGAAGCATAACTTACAATTTAGTCAGAAAGGATTCAGTGAGACCAAAGCCCTGTACCCTGTCTCTATGTACTGGAGAAAAAAAAATCTGCAAAGACAAGGAAAGGCAAATTGATTAGAAATGTTTGATGGAATTGCAAGGCGTCTGAAAAAATCCTTTCACTAGAAACATGCCTTCCAATACAGAGAGAAAAAACCCTCTGCTAAGTTTTCTTTCTCCAGTGGAAGGCTTCATCTTTAGGCACTGTTGTCATGGCCAAGCACATGGGAGACAGTCAAAGTCCACTGATACAACTGAATAAAAACAGGCTAATAATGCGCTTGAGCCCTGGACCCCTGGATCGGCCACACTGCTTTTCTCCCAGCTCTGCTGCAGCTGACCCAGATTGCTTCTCTCCTCAACAAAGCCTGGGCATGGTTTTGTGAATAGCTCATCCTAAGGATGATGCTTGAAAAGCGGTATGGACAAGACTCTGGATGGCTTGGCTCCTTCTGTAACTTTCTTGCCATAACATCCCCCTCTCTGCTCCCAACCACCATCCCTTGCCCAACCGGACCGAGACCTTCAGCCCCCATCGGGCAGCCTTCCACGCTCACAACATCCCCTCTGGGATTGAGGCACGCTCCCACACACTCATTCTGCTGACGAGCTTCAACTGAATATAAACCAAAACGAGATTTATTTATTTTTTTTTAATAAAATAGCCAAAAAGCGACCTTCCCAGTCCGCTTCACTGAGAGGAGAGCTGATAAATTTCAAAGGCAGGTGCACATTCTCCCTCGGGCCGGTACCGTTACACCGTATTAAACAACCCGACACCCCCACCAGCTCCGCGTT